ACTTCATCTTGTGCTAGAGCCTCTCGGAAATTTCCGAGCTCAGAATACCATAGTCACAAGCGTCAATCTGTGATTGAGCTCTGAAGCTCGTTTCTAACAGGGTAAGCAGGCAAGTGATGCTCTCCTCAGCGCACAGAGGGCGTTGCTATACGGGAAAGGGCTTCGGAATCCCTACCGGCACGCAGAATAGCGCGCGATTCCTTGTGAGTTGGGAGCACCGTTCTCCAGCACCAGGCAGGAGCAATGTGTTCGTTTGATACTTGCTGACGTTGCGAAGTATGCAGTGGGATGATTCACCTAAAATGAGGTCGATGATGAAATCGCTCGAAAATGGTTTACTCGGAGCGTGGCCCGGAACAGTAGTGATGGACGAGGAAGTGGCTAATTACACCGAAGCCGAGTGTCAGCAACTAACGGATGACTTTAATCGTGAGTGAAAACTAGAAGACGATAACTTTGATTCGATTTGTTCCCGAGAGGCATTTGGGAGATCTCGTATGACGCATCGCTCTGGACGAGCTTGAGATAGCTAGAGAATAGACTGGCATCGTCGTCCTGACATTAGGGGGAAGTACCGCTCGAAAATCTGCCCTGATCGAGAAGGATAACTTCGTTTTCCTCATTGTGCAATAATTTCGGAGTATTCCTCCCGGATAGCCCAGTCGGGAGAGTAAATTTCCCCACGAGGATCGGATTATCGCGCACAGCTGTGAACGCCCCTACGGAACATGAATCCGATAGCCGAAAGTCAACCCCGGCGCGGCGCAGAGGCAGATGCTCAGTGGGACCATTGGGGAAGGTTCCCCAAAAGCAGGGGCTGGCAGTCGAGGCGCGCCCGGCTGTACCCTTCGAGCAGTATTTGGAAGACCGTCGAGGCCAATCCGAGACGTCTCAGACTCTTCAAGGAGAGAGCGGTCATCACCGACTACACGGTACTACTTATACACGTTTGTCCCATAATGGACTCCCGACTCGGCGAAAACCCTGCTGTGCTCTGGACTTCGGAAAATGATCGTGAGCCGTCTCTTTTTTAAGCTTGAGAGTTCTCCCTCTTTTTTGGAGTTCGAGCGAGCCTCTTCACTTCGGCACTTTCCTGATTGAGCTCACAGGTACTCTACGATGGGGACGCATAGTTCTTCAGAGACTCGAGCCGCAAGCTGTGAAGGTGCGAGCTCCGTCCGCAAGGGAGACTCACTCCGGGACGATCAATCACTCGATGTCTTCTTCCTCTGGGCCTTCGTGATATAGCGACGGAAAATCGCTCTCAAAAATGTTCCTCTCCGAAGACGCTCCCGCGCGTGAGGAACGAATCAGCATGCTTTTCGGGAAAAGCGCGTTCTCCATCAGTCTGATTTGCCGGTTGGGTCTTGCGCTTACGAGGGGCCCATCCCTCATCCATCGGTCATTGACTGCCTTCTGAGACGCCGGTATTGAGCGGCTCGATGGAATGGAATCGGGAATTTAGAAAACAGATCGCTCACAGCACGCTGGGTATGGGGCTCGTATACCCCGAGACGGTCGTCCCCTGCGGGCGGGGGGAAACCGGGAAATGAATGATGGCTCCGCATTAGCTGAAAAACGCGCGGAGCCAATGACCGTGACTTCCACCATGCTGGGAGGTGAACCCCGTGCAGCTCTCCTGGGACGTCGCTCCCGCCTCCTGCCGGCAACGGGTTCACTGATATGTCAGAACAAGGCAGAACCTGTCGCTGCGGGACCATGTTTGGTTTCTTGCAGTGAGCACCGGTTGACCCTCTCGTCATGAACAGAACCATGGTCATCGATGGAACAAATTGTTGTCGTCATCAGACGTCGCAAGAAAACGGAGAGAACAAGGCTGCTGATGCCATTGCCGTAGAGACGTGTTCCGCAGAATGATCGATAATGTTCGAATGGGCTACGTTCAATCAATTTACCTTTTCCTTTCAACGAGCGTCCCGTATCAATGTTCTAGGCCGGGGGAAAGGCGGCATAGAGTAATTGAGCTGAGTGTGGCATCTCTCCGAGGGAATAGAACCGTTTGATCCAGGACTGAGGCCAAAGTAAGAGCGTATTTCGATAGTTTTTCATCGAAAAGCCCGATGGGCATGACGAGGAATCAATCTTCTCTCGATGTCTCCATACCTCCCTCCTCCAGATCAGTGAGCCGATGATAAACGAAGAGGAACTTGGGAACTCGGTGTAACTCATTCCTTGGCTGGGGCAATTTTCACCTCACAAGCTCCGCGCATTTTCTTCGTGATGGCCATACCGTCTACGCTATCGCTAACTCACCCTCCGTGTAATCTCGTCTCGTCGGCGTTTATCTGACGTTCACAAGAACTCGGAAAGGTTTAGCAGAGGCTGATTAGATGGAGGAGCGATTGAGAGGGAGACAAGACTGCAAAATCTCTCCTGATGTGATTCGATCCTTCTCCGGGATCTTCGGAGATGGGAGGCTTTTGCAACCTAACCTCGTGATCTTAGCTCCCCGTGTATCTGAATAAGTATGTCCTCCGATTCGAAAGCCTAGAGTGTATTGCGAAGTGACTGGTGAAATAGTTCGTGTCTTGAGGAACGAACCCGAAAAATTCCCGTCGACGACGGCGAGGCTACATGTCCCCCCAGATTGGATGCTCGTGGCGAGGTAATTTCCTCGACTCTGTCGAAGCCGTGTCTCGCGGCGGGGAATCGACCTCTCCGACCCTCCCGTCTGCGATGATCCTAGTCGTATTCTATTTGGCTTTTTTGCAGCTTTGTTTTTCTGGTACAATTCTGCTAATGACTGATTGTTGGAATTTGAAATACACACAGGTGGTGACGACGCCGGCGTGATATCTAGCCGGTTTGGACTCACCCCGACATGTACGAATGCACGATTCCTTGACGATTTCGGAGAACTTTCCGTTCTTACACACTTTATGATGAAACCCCCGGTAGGTCAATCGACAAATTCGTGAGCGGCCTGTTCCGTTGGATCTTTTCCAATATTCCCTGAGGGGAGCTGGCCTCGATGCGAATTTCTGGCTTGAGTGCGCTTATCTTTTCTGAATCCGCTCCGCGGCATACTCTTCCCTGTTCCTGGATTCGTGTCCTGTATTCCTGTGATCTAGAAAGGAGTTTTATCATCCGTCAGAGCTGGAACGAATGTGATCGAGGTGTATTCTGATAGGCCGAGAACTGATACAGAGATCTACATCTGTCGAGGTTCAGCAAGGAGGTTTCCGCTACTCTTGGTGCGATTCTGGCGATTCCGTATCGAAGGATCGGCATAATCGTCAGCAAGAAGCTGTTCCTCGCTAGTTCCAGCGGGAGTTTCAGTAGCTTTCCTGGACAGGCGGTGGGGGCGTGGGGGCCACTGTCCAGTCTTGAGCTGATAAACGTGTTCATGGAACCCTAGGGCGGCTTGCCTGCTTAGGACGCTCGACTTCTGAATCCGGCCACGAGTTCCATTGCTGTTTTGTCAATGTACAGATTGTTTTCACCCAACGCCCCGACCTTCCTGAACTCCACGGCCTTCGTTCATTTACACGAGAATGGCATATGAAGCCGATTTCTCATAAAGTGATACGGGGGCCACCTCGAGTTTCACTTCATATTTTTTTTGCTTCCAAACAAATCTCCCGCCACGAAGAGACCCGCGGAAACGCATATTTTCTCCGTTGACGCGCAAAGTTACACGAAATCCGCGTGCCCGGACCGAGATATGGCCATTCAGAAAAGTAGCACCATGAGAGATATGTCGGATTTTCGCTGCTCCGCCCGAGGAGTCTCATAGGTGGGCCCGCCCACGGCGAGAAGAGATTCCTCCCTGTTCGCCCACTGACTTGCTCCGAAGGAAATGCCTGGAATTGCTTATTTGGGATGACGATTCGCCTATAGGGAAGCCCCACACGAAATCAGTTTCTCGACTTACGGAATTACGCCGATAACTCTTCCACTCCTCGGGGAATCAAAGCCAAGGTACCTCTTGCTGGATGGAGATGCGGAGCCTTGCGAACGCCTTCTGCCGGAAATAACCCAGTCGGGAAATGGTGCGTCTGAGACTGTGTGATTGATATCTCTTACTTCCTTCCCTAGAAAGTGAGGAATGAATAATGACCATGCCACCACAGGCTAAATGTGTTCGGCTTGGCATCTTCGACCTGATAGCCAGCCTACTGCACTATCTGGTCATCCGGGAACTTATTTGAGCGCTCCTGTCTGTAGGTTGTGGGGCACGTGTGCGGTGGTAATATCGAGCGATCAACATTTTCTACATCGACTTGAATATGATACTTATGTTAGAGCTAGGCGCTTCAGGCATAAGGCCTGAAGTGCCCGAAAATGCACTTTCCCCCGATATTTCCCAATTTTGCCTAGAACATGATCTCCGATAAGCATTTTGCCCATTCCGGCCGAGTTTTCTCTCATGGACACAAGTCTCAATGTCTTCAATGATGTGACGTTGGTCAGGACGAAACCTATCTGAGGATATTATGCGATTGTGAAAATCACGTCACCCGGAGTGCACTTCTTTATTCACTTCTTCATACGTCATTTCGGCCGATTTCCACGCGGAGAGAATCGGCTGTCGTGCACCCTTCCCGCGTTCGCGGTAGATGTCAGATGGTCTCACTCAGAGAGGAGTACCTCAGGGGGCGCTGACGCTCATACCGGCCGAGGGCGACGGAGACTGATCGTTGCGCTATACGGGCGAGCTGTCATCTCGACGTTCATAACAGTGATCTCTTTCCAGGTGCTTCATCCATATTTTTCCATGAGCCGGAACATGTGAACTCCGCTAGAGATAATGATCCAATAGATATCTTGGTTGTCCCGGGTCCTCTGACTAGGCTGTCAATGATCCACAAGCGCTGTTGTCAACCGATGCGAGGCAAAGATCTCTCCACTCATGAGAGATTTCCAAGTGCTAAATGACAGGTGATCACAGCTCATCCCAAACACTATGAGAGGGGCAGCTCTAATCAGTTCTTGAAATCCAGAAAGCTCTTTTGCAGCGTTCCTCTCCAACTGAACATGCCGAAAGTAGCGAAAACCGCAAGGTTCAAAATGGAGGTTTTCGTGAAAGAACTAGGTCCCGAGTGCCTCACAACGGACGGTACGGCTCTAACATGCAAATTGGGTGCGAAAGTGGTGAATGCGGAGCAGAAATACTTCGTACAGCAACACTTAAATTGCGCCAATCACCAGGAATGCGCTAAGAGAACGAAGAGTAAGGATCAGACAATCTGCCCCCTCAAAAATTGCGTGGAGCTGTTTAGTAGAGAGAGCGCTTTCAGCATGGACTTGTGCCAAATGATGGTGGAGTGCAACACACCGCTGCACATGGCTCAGCATGAATCGTTCCGCTTTCTCGAAAAGTGGAGCAGCGGAAAAAAGTACCTGACCCGAGAACCCTCCGCAGGGATTACTCGAAGAAACTGTACGAAGCGACTATCGAGGGTATCCGTTACACCGACGGCATAACCGGATCTGGATTTCAGTAGACGAAACCACAAACTCCGGAGGCCTGTACGTTGTAAATACTGTGATCGGCTGTCACACCGCGGAAGAGGCATTAAAACCGATGCTGCTGGGATGTGAGATTGTCAAGCGTACCAATCACGCTACCCTCGCTCAGGCCTCCACGAATGCCTCGAGTCTGCTCTGGCCAACCGGCAACAAGCATGACCGAGTCTTCTTGTTCATATCGGACGCAGCGCCATACATGAAGAAGCCAGGGAACGGTTTGAGTGTATCTACTCTTCCCGAAAATGATCCATGTCACTTGTTCAGCACAAGGCATACATCGGGTCTGCGAAGAGATCCGCTCTTCTTTCCCTGAACTCGACTCCTTGATCGCGAACGTGAAGGGGCTTTTCGTTGAAGCTTCATCTCGAGTCCAAGTCAAGAGTCCGAGAGGTGGCGCCATCTCTCCCGCTCTCTCCTGCACCTGTATTAAGCCGATGGGGCACATGGTTGTCTGCAGCGTTGTACTATGCGGGCAACTTGGACGAAATCACGAGAGTTCTGGCTGAGCTCGATGGTAGCGAGGCAGCGGCGATTCGGTAATCGAAAGAGCCCATGGTCGATCCTTTCGTAAAGTCCAACCTCGCTTCGATCGCCTCAAACTATTGCCGACTCCCAGAAAGCATAACGAGACTGGAATGCAGTTCTCAGCGTCTTTCGATAACGCTCGGAGTCGTTGATGAGATCAGGCAGATTCTGATTGCCAGTGTCGGTCGAAAGGCTGAGCTTATGAGATCCATACAGGAAAGGGTGTTGGAAAAAAATGCCGGATTCGAAACGGTCTCCACGATCCACTGAGCTCTCGAGGGCGAAGGACTGTCCGACGTTTCCAGCTTTAGCGCCTCCGTACTCTCATCATTCACCTTCGCTCCATTGGTGAGCGTCGACGTGGAAAGATCTTCTCCTCGTTAAAATGAAGAGACTGCGATCGCACCACGGGCAAAACAAGTCAAATTCGCTGGTGCTGAAAATCGGTTCAGATTCATGTCTCGAAAAAACGCAATCATACTCAGGCTGAATTCCATGACAGCTGTTGTCTGTTCCTACATCACTCCTGGCCCAAGACCTGTAGCAATCGGGAAGGTCTGCACGAGGCATGAGCGAAGGTTCCATTCAGTCGAAAGCTCTGAGCGGACCGACGAATGATATTTGGTTGATGCTGGCTTCCATTTTCTCGAGTGATTTCGCGCAGCACAAATCGTCGAGGTATCTAAATTCAGTTTTCTACGAAGCAATACACAGCGTCGATATCTGGATCTCGATCCTGCACGCTAGGATGAAACGCTAGGCAATGCCCATGTTCGAATCGACAACTTCTACGATCGCTCGCAGATGTCACTTTCCTTCGCGACATCGAATCGACGTAGTTCTGCACAGATATTGCTTGAGCTGATTTTCTTCCGTTCGCGAAGAGGCTGAGCATTGTGTCCAGACGATGTATCTTTGGGATAATCCCAGCTACCTGGCGCTTGGTGCCCTCTGCGGGATCTGAGAAAATTATAATCGACGAGATCACCGAGCACCCTCTGTTGTCAGGGGTAAAATCCGAGAGTTGGTGTCCACCTTCGAGGAAGAATACGGAAAGCTCCGTTGTTTGTCTCGGCGACAGCTGGAAGTAGAAGCGTCGCATCGAGACATGTGTCGGCGCACTTGACCGGAAGCTTGACAGCTAGTCCTTGCTCTCTTGCCGAATCGGCGAGAGCAAGAAATTGATTGCCGACGGACGGTGAGGAAAGCTGATAGTTGAAGCGAAAATGTTGACATCGCCTGGTATTCTACCCATTCGATACTGACACGAATGAGGGGTATCAGAGTCGACATCTGTCTTTGCATGGGTCAGACGTATGATGATGCGAAGCATCCGCTGCTCCTAGATCAAAATGTCTCCGTCGCTACTTTTTCGCCGTCACATGCACGCCGGAAGCATCCATCAATGACGACCTGAGAGGAAGCGACGTGCTGAGCTCGTCGCCGGAACAATCAGCTCCGGTGGGGGAACCCCGCGAGGCGGTCGCCTATAGCGCCGATGTTCGACTTTCTGATCACCGAGTAAACTATTCATCCGAGAGAAGGAACAGCAGCAGCCGTGTCGAAGCCGGAGTACACACCGCCCTGTGAGAAGTCGAAGATCCATTATTCTCGCAGCTCGAGAGCTCCACCAAATAATCAATAATAATTAGTTTATCAATTCGTCCGACTTTCGGTTTCCTCGGTGGGGTGTCAGAGATCCAATATAGCGCAAGTTTGAATCGGTAGCAACGCGGCTCCTAGATGTTCCTATGACGGAAAAGAAGATACTGGTATTTTGGAATAATTGCCCTCCTCATCTTTTGTTCACCCTCTATACGATTTTCTTGGTATCAGGGGCAGAGCGTTCCTTCGGTTTCGGGAGAAATCGATCAAAGGATGATTTTCGGTTAGGTTAATCGTCCCATAATAAGGATCATCCACCCTATCTAACGGAAAAAGTAACAAGGGATCCTAAGGGGGAAGGCTCCTCGCCGAGAAAAAAACTAGAAGAACTTCCTCGGTAACCCCGATTACAACAACTACGTTCCCGTAGCCCTCGCCCCGCTTTTCGACCAGGCCCAAATTGCAGGATAGAGCGATTCCGCACAGCGAAAAAAATCTTTTGACGTGAAGCATCTCTGAAACGGTGAACATATATATGAGCGCAGGTCTGGTTCGAACGAAGGTATAATTTTAGCGCGAAACCAACCTGAGGGAGCGCAAGTGCGAAGGGAGCGCGAACCAGTTCGAGCCTAGCCGATCTGAGTGCAGCCAGTATGAGCGCGAGCCTATTTGAGCGGCTTATGATCAGAGCGCATAGAAGGCGATTCCTCATCATGGTGTCAAATAATTCATATCTCATGTATTATCAACACATTGGCTTAACCAATCACATGTTCGAGCAACAGACAAGTTTGAATGATTGAGAGTCAAGCTTCAGCGCATTGAGTCAATCGTATAAGAAATTCGAAATGTGTGTCTTGGTGACGTTCGGCGCTGCGCGTTCGACTGATAACGCGTCTGCAGTCGATTTCCACTGAAGCTGAGGAAACATCCATCATGCCAGTAGAATACGCGACTTCGACCACGGGAGAACCATGACTGCTCTACGATGGTCATCAGTGTCGGCGGAATCAGGGAAAGTTCGGACAGCTTCGGCTGGAAGTCGAACCAATCTCAGTCCACTCGTCGAGCCCTTGGAGAGTCACCTCATGGATGAGCCCAAACGATCGGGATGATTCGGTACATGATTTACGAGAAGTCAAAGACTAACTCCTCGGATACATATATCCCCACAGTGGCTCGGTACAAACCCACGGATACCCTGACAAGTCTGCGAAAGCAACCGCAAATCCTTATGAAATGACACTCGGGCTCGAATCACTCGATCCTGTCCACTCGACCGCGGATCGGTTGTTTCGAAGGATGCTCGAGTCGCCTGGTCGCTGATCTGTAAAGAGAGTAAAGCTTTCGGTCTGTGGCCGACGAGCATGCCAGCGGACGCATTGCTCAATCGTGCATGCTTCCAGGTCGACCGGAAGCGGAGAATCCCCTCGACAAAGTTTCGGCGCAGAACCCAACTCACAAGGCCTTCAGGGCCGTGACCTAGGTTGCGAGGCGTTCAGGGCTCCGTCACCGCATGCGGTCTCGGATGATGATCACCTCGATGACAATCTGGCCGAAGAAAATCCGCTGAATATCGATTGCTGGTGAATCTGCCTACGTATTTGAATAAAGGCGTCTGTGGATCTCGCGACGTCACAGCCGCGTCTATTCTCGTCTCTTTACTCGACAGAGCCTAAAGACGTGTACCACGTCAAAAATGTCGATGTTTGGAGAGAGGTCGCTCTTGTCGAGCTGAGACTAAAGTTGAAAGAATATCAGTCGGGCCTCCGTGGGCGTGTGACTACCTGTATCACGGGAGGAACTCCCCTCGCTTTATGCCAGTCGCGCGAACATCAGAAGCCCCCAACACCTGGTGTTTTCGGACCATGATACAGCGCCAAACCCAATGAGTCCGAGATCTCTTGTCAGCCGCAAACGTAGTTCGGAGAAACGTCGCCGAACAGCACGAGGTTCCTGTTAACTTCGCGTTTGCGCTCGGATCGCTTTTGCGTCCGAATCGCATTCGCGCTATACTGAAGGTACATTTACCCTTTGAAGTCGACAACGGGTTAGGGGTATTCCTGGATAAACATCGTCTTGGGGTGAAGGAATCTTGACCGCAGTTGAGATCCAGTAAATCAGTAAGCATTCGAGTGACTATAATCTAATTTCAATTGATGGGTGGCTTCATGGCAGAACGACCTTGCGTGAATTTCGCGATATACTGGGGCACACCAGTAGCGAGCTCTCGGCGAATCTGAGCTCACATCAAAATATGCGAAAAGCCGTAAAATTAGGGCTGTATCCGGCATGGGGTCACTGTATCGCCGCGGCGAGACTACTGAAGGCGAATCAGCAAGGCGACCGCCTGTCGCTCCTGAGATATTCGCTCCAGACTCTCGATAACCGATCGGAAGTTAGGAATCAAGAGTCCAATCCCAAATCTCGGACCCGTGGCCGCGCTCTTCTTCATAATCCTATGCACCACTGCCTTTCCTTGATGTAGTCAGTCTGCGACCGGCAGATCTGGTCTTGCAGATGACAGAGCAGCGAGCGATCTGGAAGGAAGAAATTTCGGAATGACCGTAG